GAACATTCATTATCTTCTTCATTTGTAGTATTTGTAGGAATTTTACACAAAGTCTTTTGCCTTTTAGGCTCGGATTTTGGCAATGGAGTGTATTCAGGACCATATATATAGCGTTTCCGCTTTTTCCGATTAGTATGTATAAAGAATCTTCCACCAGGAAGATATTTAGAATCATCCACGCCTTTGACAAATTCCAATGGAGCATATTCAATAGGGACCAGTGGGTTTGTCTTTTTATCTGGAGAACACTTAAGATCATCAGCAAAATTGCTATTGTTTTCTTTCTTTGGTGGAGACAATGGCGAAATAGATATCGGTTCTTTGACAACTGTCGTAGAATCTGGTGCTGGTGTTAGATAATTCGTGGTCGCAGTTGTATGAGAAGGGGGCTTCATATAGTTAGGAAAATTCATAATGCATTAGGAAGTGACCTTTACATGTAGTAATGTTTTTTTTTTCTTTTTTCTAAGGAAAACATATATATACAGACCTCGCCATTAAAAGTTTCAAAATCTTCATCCGTTACTGCTGTGAAGTATGGATCGTAATCGAAATCCGTATCCATCATAGCCATCATATTGTCACTCATAGATAATGCATCTTCATTTTGCAGCTGTGGAATCAACCCTTCAGCAGGCATTGGTTGGACTACATCTGGTGGAGATGGATAGGCCTTTGTGTCTCCCAAAGGTCGTTTTTTGGATCTTGATACAGGGGTCAAAGGATGTGCTGGTGAGTTTGCGTTGGATGTTACGTTAACTATTCCAGGCGTTTCTGAGCCGGACGGAGACGAGACACTTGAATCATGGAAATCCTTTTGATTCAGTACGGTTACCACATCACGTAACGGATCATTGTAGTGCCACCAATTGATATTATTTATGAGTTGATCTTGGGGCAGCATGTTATTTGAGAAACCACCATCCAAATTACTCCATAATACAGGTCCCATTCCGAAATCCGAGCCTAAAAGGCAAAAGACTTTGTGTAAAATTCCTACAAATACTACAAATGAAGAAGATAATGAATGTTC